TCTGAGCTGCATTTTCTCTTCCTCCCACTCCCCAAAGGTAAATAACAACAGCAGCCATCACTGAATTACTAGGAATGACTACACCCTAACCTCTCTTTTTCAGCCCACCGTATTCATACTTTTTAAAAATTATTATTATGTGCCTTTCCAAAGCTGCCCCATTTCTGACCACTCTGGTTGGGAGGGATATTTATTTATTTATTTATATTTCAAATTTAGATACCATGCATCTCACAAAAAAGTGACTAATTTATTAGCCTAAAGCCTCCAGATAGAACCTGCCAGGCAGCAGGGAAAGAAGATGGTCATCCTGGGGGAGGGGGCGTAAAAGCCCTCCCTTGGGAGCCTACCTCCTACGAGGGCCTGGGACCTTCAAGGCTTGTCTAAAGGGGAGCAGAGGAGGGGCCATTTCAGTCTTGGGGGGGAAGTGTTCCAGAGGGCAGGTGCCACCACAAAGGAGGCACATCCTTGGGTCCAATCAGGTGGCACTGTTTGATTGAGAGGACCTGGAGCATGCTAACTCTGATGGTACAGGATGGGCAAATGCCCCAGGAGTCAGGCAGTCCCTCAAATAACCAGGCCCTGGGCCATGGAGGCCTTTATAGGTGACCTCCAGCACCTTCAATTGTACCCCGAAGCCTATTGGGAGACAGCGCAGTTCACAAAGCAGAGGGGTTATGATGGCATACCATGGCCTGCCCATCCCTGCCAGTGCCACTGCATTCTGGACCTGCTGCAGCTTCCAAGTGGTCTCCAAGGATGGCCCTATGGAGAGTGCATGGCAGTAGTCCAAATGCAAGGTGATGAGGATGTGAGTGACCCTGAGAAGGGCCTCCTGGTCCAGGAATGGGCACAACTGACGCAAAAGAGGGATCCATGCAAAACTGTTCCTGTCTACAGCCACCACCTGTTTTTCAACCAGGATCTGAGAGTCCAGGAAACCTCCCTCCCCAAATTGTGCCCCTGTTTCATCTGGGGAAGGGCAATCCTCACTTTATTTATTTATTTATTAAATTTTTCAACCGCCCAATGGGGGAACTCTGGGCGATTCACAACAAACATTAAAAACATAAAATATATAAATAC